AAGATGAAAGACTTTAGACAGTTTTTCAACTCTCAGTAATGCCATAGTGATCGTTTGATATATGGACCTGCAGCGGAGTTTAGGCCCAGACACGGCTAGTGACATTAGACTTAACGACCGGATTGATCTTCAGCAGCAATGTCGCTGCTATCTTGTACTTTGTGGCTACTGTGTACCTTTTTGGTCCTGTTTTATTTTACTATCAAAGTTGAAAGATGGTATATTGATACAAAATAAATTGGCCTTTTTCATTTTGTATATGTCAAGGTCAAATTATACATTTTTTATCTTATGTAATTGAAATGTTTTAATATTTTTAACTTGTTTCTTAGGTGTTTTGCTGCAATCTCAAAATGTCTAAATAATATTTCAACGACATAAAGCATTTTGTATGTTAGCTCTAATCATTAGCCCCAACTGGTTAACAGGTAATTCACAGTCAAACCAGTCAGCTTCATTTCTACCGGACCAAACGATTTTAATTTATCCTCGTCTAATTTCTTTAACCAGCCCCAATCAGCTGTGCTACACAAAGATCAAGCTCCACTGTTACCAGACAAATAAACGTGTCATCTTTTAGTTTGCTAAATGAGCCTCACCACAGCCATGCTTTCTTTCTTGTAATTACAGAGGAGTTTAAATTGTTGGCAGAACACAGCACCAGTTGGAGATCTCTGCAGACTCCACAGCGAGAGCACCAACCACAATTTATCTTCAGAGACTGTACCATTCTGAGCCTTCCGGTGAAGGAGTCATTATCTAGCTTTAAAGCCTCAATGTGTAAAATGCTGGTGTGATTACATGTTTATGTATGTGGAAAATGAGACAGTCGTACTGAAGAAAAATAGCGCAGCGTGTTCTTTGCTTTCACATCATTCTTCTCAGGCTCCTGGGGTGAGAGTGGTAGTGAAAGCTACTGTTATTTGAGTACCAGTACCAGAAATTGCTTCTTTTTAAAGCATACACAGAGGCTTTAAAGGGGACCTGCTGTACTTTTCTCTGTTTTCTGTCATACAGCTACTGTTACTATGGTGGATGTTGATATTAAATACAACATTTAAAATAATGGATTCAGCATAAAAGAAATCCCTGTCAGCCAAAAGTTTAAGTTTCAAACTGTTTCACACATTTTGTTCTATTGTTGCCTCTTTATGATGTTGGTGACACTGGAAATTCCTAATATGGTCATTTCAGACACAGAGCTCCTGCTGTAAGCACAGAAGCTCCACCCTCCTGCTATTTCAAACCTGTTTGCGAGAGGCAGCCAATCAGATGATTGCACTTTCATCAGGTGCTGAGTAATCTTGAACTGTGCTTCCCAATGACATTAAATTTACTGGAGAAAAAACAACAACGCTATTTCACTTCTCATAAAAGCCAGAGAAACCTAGTTATTTTTGTTTTAAGCCATTTGTATTTAGAACTAAAACAAAAGAAATCTAAGAAACCTGCACGCTATAGTTTCCTTCCCTGCTCCACTAACTCTTTCTGTCTCTTTCTTCACCTTCCTCGTGGAAAGTGCAACATCAGCTGTGACACATCGACCAGCCTCTCAGCAGGTCGGCGTCCGGCTTCAATACAGCTACACAGAGCACGTCAATTCTTCAAAGGGATACACTTCGTAGCTTTTGTGCCCAAAGGTCATGACTATCTCTCCGCTGTGGACCACTCAGATCACAAGACAGCTGAGCTGACGCGAACACCAACATCATTCCCTACAAACACTTCCCAAAACACCCAACTGTCTGCAAGGTTCATTTGCCTGTGCAGCTCTACAGACTCGCCACGCTCACTGTCTACTGTCCACGCACAGAATTAAACTCCACTGACTTGTGTTTGTGTCATCAAGGCCTCGTGATCATGAGTGAGGAAACTCAGGCAAATGGCTGTGCGGGGGTTTTCTTCTCACTAACACACCATATTTGTCTTGAGTTAATCAATCTGTCACTTCTGCTGCTTCACTGCACATGTGACGGGTCCGGAGACGGTTTGGATTTATTGAGTGAGGGAGCTTTCACTCAGCGACGGACTCTATCTGGGCTGAATGCTTCAGTAGCTTCGTCAACACAAAAGTGGGAAAATCACACTCTCCACAAGATAAGGACTGGTAAATTTTGTTTTGGTGTGGCTATTAATGGTTTCACCTCAGGCAGATCAAAAAGCTAAAGCATGTTTGTTCTGTCAAAAAAAAATGAACTAGTACAGTGAATTATTGGACTAGATTTTCACACGAAAGATGCATTTAACAGCCAATATCCACTTAACCAAAAAACAAACAAAAACAGTAAAACAATATTAAGCTATAACCTGATTCAGATAGGTGTTCTGTTCTTGATTTCTGCCACAGTCCAATATAAGGCAGCTGCTCAGAGAACCAGACAAAATGCATGCGTTCATCCAAGGAATCTGTCTCTGTAGGTTTTTTTCCCCCTGTTTTAAAATCAACATACAAGAAAACCAAGCTAAAACAGTGTCAAAATGATGTAGTATATCAAACTTTGGTAAAGGAAAATGCCAGGACTGCCAGTTTGGTGTACAACAATGAAGCAGTGCAGTAATCCTACAATGCAGGACTTGGCTTTTTTCTTTGACACACACGACACTAAAACTGAATCTATTTTTGATTTTGGTCGTCAGTCCTAAAAATTCGTTTAACGCTCCAATGAGACAGTGGTGAAATTTTGCAATTAGGAAAAAACATAACAGCAAATGCCTACATGAAACTGCAAGTGTTGTTTGTTAGTGCCCCGAACCAAAGGTGGTGCAGTTTAATGCGTCACCATTGCACAGCTTTTTTAGGATAATTTTTGTGCTGGTTGTGAACTGCAAAGCTTGTACATCCCAACACTATACACGACTGGCTCCCTGGAAGCTTTACTCATTTTGTCAAAGGTGACTTGTGTATTTTGTCTATCATTTGGCTCCACAAGCTTGAAAGCTTGTGGTGACAGAAACAATGCATTACCTAATGCCTCTGTCACTCAAAGTGCCTTTGCAAGCATTAAAGAAATGTCACTGCAGTTTGTCCATTTTCCATCCATGCCATTTTCTATAAATGCTCGCTCCTTTTCACGGTCAGGAATATGCATAAGGAAAAGCACATAAATTATGTTTGCATGACTAAAAAGAGCTTTTTATAAGAATGCGGAGATGAGTCATAATTTGCGGGAGCTTTTCTTTTATGATGCCATTTTTTCCCCTTAAAACAAACAAACAAACAAACACATACATAATCAAACACAAAATATCTTCACAAGTTCAGATCTCAAAATCATGAAGTTCATTACCAAGCTGACTTGCTGTGCAAAGCTTTTATCTTAGAACTAAAACAGCAACAGAAGCTCCATCTGCATAAACAGCTGGCAGATTTTAGGTCAGCGGGAATTTAAATGAGTCCAAAGTCTTTGTTCTTCTGTTCATTAAAAGTCTCAAATAAGGTTTACAAGAATTAAAGTTTTGCAGTGAAATAAAGATTTAAAGACTACATGATCTCAGCCTGAACCTGAACGACCGACTAAATCAAATAAAATGTTTTATGACATGCCCTGAATTCCTTGTCACTTATCTTACTCTTATACAGCATTATGATATTGAAAAGTTGTTTGGGGCGTGACTGCCTCTTCAGTTTAGGGGCAAACAAACCAGGATAACTAAAAATCCCCAGATTGTGTCAAAACACGTTACTGATTTTACACATTCAGACGACAAACTGAAGAAGAGAAAATGGATGCACCCCCCCCCCACACACACACACACACACACACCTGAAAAGTTACCAAATGAACCTTTGATCATAATAAAAAGAAATTAAAAATTCAGCTTCAATTCAGCACTGATCATGTTGAATTGATTGATTGATTCTTTTTAATTCATGCTTCAAAGGAGGCTTAAACGATTTAGCGCTTATGCAGATTGTTTTATTATGTAAATCTTCAGTCACATTCTGCTCCATTTTAAAGATTCTGTGATGTGTGAATCATAAGCTTTGCTTTGATTGGACACTTTACACAGTGGGCTTTACCATCCACTGCAATAGCACACTGTACTGTAGATCTTTGTAGTTCACTAAACATTCAATTCTATCAACATAAAATTACTCGCTGATCTATATTTCAATTTAAAAAAAACTTTTGTCATTGAAGAGGACATGCTGCTTTTCATTGCGTCATGGGATTTAAAATGTGTCTTCTTGGCTTTTAAAAAAATCCAAGAGCTCAAAACCCATGATGACACCTTACTTTCTCAACTTTAACATTTCATTGAATCTAAATTTAATCCTAATCTTCTCAACAGTCCTGACAGTCCTGCTGAGAGACCCCAGATGATACATGGAGAGGAGAAATGATTGGATGGATAGAATGACAGATATAGCATATTTCATATCATTACAAACAGCAAATCCTTCCACGTAAGAAGCAGCAGCCTGAAAATGGTCGGTGTGTTTTTAAAAGCTGACTGGACGTGTCCACTGTAGTAAAACTGCCACAGCGCGAATCAAACAGCCTGCTCCAGCATCCTCCACCCGTCCTCCCTGCAGGAAATTCCCACATGAAATAAATATTTCTTAAGGATGATGACGTGGTGAGGTGGTCACTTTGCTTCGGCGCAAACATAAATTTCTGCAGCTCTGCGTGTGGCAGCTTCACCGAAGCTCGGAAACGTGACAGCAGTGTAAAGACATGTCAACTCTGACCTCCATCCGGCGCTCATCCACAGGAAAACTACTGGCAACAGACGCGCAAGAAAACGTGCCTTCCTGCACAAATCCAATATATAATCATTCACCTGCCACTGCACTCGTATAAAGAGAAAAGTGGCGTGACTCCACACCGCACTGTACAAACAAATCAAATTGAAACAACGAGCGCAAAGCGAGTTTGTGCTGGGTTTATTCCCTACTATGCAGCCTGCACGGAACTCCCGGGCAGATATCACAGTGAAAGGAATATTTATTGTTTTGTACATCTCAACGCAGTGAAGCAAAAGTGGTCAGCACTCACCTGCACGAGACCGTCAGTTCAACTTTGGTGGCAGGTATCGAAGCGGTGAAGGGGTCCGCGTCCCCAATAAACGCCATATTCATCGCTGCTTGGTCGGTCACAGTGCGTCCCCTACCCCCAGCGCTGTAACGGCGGCATGTGAAAAAGCGGTGTAAAAGAAATAGAAGGGGGGGGAAACCTCGCAATGGATGCTCAGTGAGCCGTTTGCTTCCTGGAAGAACCAAACACCAGAGAGCGAGAGAGAGAAAAGCACACGGACGCAGACCTGCAGCGTGCCACAGTCGGGTCTCTGTGCGGCTCTGTGCTCCGGAGGAGAGAGGACAGTGTGAAGGGGCGGGAAGACACACATATACAAACACACCACACACACACACAAAGTGGGAGTCCACAGCTATTTGTGAGGACCAAAAAGAAGGATCGTTTCTATTTAGAGGTGAGTGCAGGGTTATGTGTAAAGCTCTGTTTTGGTTTGAAATTGCAGTACTCGGGAAACTATCATCTTGAAAGGTCTGGAATCGATAAAACATGTTAAATAAAATCAGTTACACCCAAGACAGTCAGGACTTCAGCACAGCAAAGCCTCAATGTGTGCATCCTGCTCAGAATAACAATAAAATGGGTCACAGAGAGGCAGCCATCAGATTCAATAAAAGATAACCAATCAGTGATGTCAAGTTAGTTCAGGCTGGCTGGTTATGGCAAATTTGGGTTATAGGTGGAGGCTTGTTTGTGTTTGTGTGTGGACAGCACAGGGAAAGAAATCCAGCTCTCAGGGGGCCAGACCTGTTCAGTTTTTGGTCCATGGTAAGCCTAATTTACTTTGAGGCATATAGGAGTTTAATGGAAGCTATGTTCAGCCTTGCAGAAGAGCATGGCCTTTGGGTTTGAAATACATATTGATTTATGATAATGTGTCTGTACGAGTGGACGGTGAGCTTCACCAGTTAAACATCTCTTATCTCAGCAGTAGCCTGACAGTACTTTGTTTGGTAATGCCTATATGAGTGAGATTTAGATACTCAAGTAATCATTTGACCAATACAAAATCTTGCAAAAATACAGTTTTCCACATTTAGGGAGTAATGAATTCTAAAAAAAAAAGGCAAAAAAGAAAAGAAAACGTTTAAATTGGCAGCATTCCCACTGAATTATTAAGGATTATTCATAAGACTACAAAAGTGACTTATCCCCATGGGTGGGAGAAAATGTCAGGGTTTGAGTTGGATTAAAAAGTAATGGAAAGAAATGTGACTTAAATACTGCAATAACTTATTCAAACTTTTAAATGCTCACAGCAGGCATCAGCCAGACATAAAGAAACAAGTAATTATGGAATAATCAGGCCATGCCTGGGTTATTTTTCTTTTTACCTTTAAGTTGTACAACATCCTCTAATCTATGGCCACGTGGAGTGAGCTGCTACCTTCAACAACAGTCAAATTAAAGAAAAGCTTAGTAGATTGTGATTGGGCAGTGTTAAAAGGTGGCACACTGAAAGCCAGATGACTAAAACCACCTGAGCACAACAAACTCAATTAACCAGCCCAGCATGAACCTTGGAGCTAAAAATGGGCATATATGTCAGCTCCAATTAGTCTGAAGAAGCAGACAGAAAGTTCATGCAGCCGTTTAAACACCTTTTAATTTCCCAAATAAAGAGCCGGGAGTTTGGATTGGGTCGGCATCTCTCTAACACGGATGTTACAGCTCCCCTAAGTAGGTCTTATACAGTAAAATACTTTTATTCCTTATACTAATATTCCAAGACTAGTGCAGTTAGGTGTACGTAAATGTGCTCTAGGCTAATAATGCAGGTCACTGATAATGAGGCCGAGACTCATAAGCCCTCATATTGTATATGGTCTCATTAGACATTTAGACATTTTTTTGCAAACAATAAAATATGTTGTACTGTAACAAAATCCAAAAGGGAAATAATTAACACTGCAATATTCCTTAAACTACTGTTGATGGTTGGTCTTTCATTTGTCTAAGTGTAAGAGTATCATGATAATTGTGTGTTCACAAAAACCCTGATATTTAAAAATTGTCAAGTGTCAGTATTCTGTCCATGATGCATTTATGATAATATCAAAAATAAGTGTGCACAGCTTTAGTTACTGCACATTCATTTAATTTGCCTGAAGTCAAAATATTGTGATGTCCCTTTATAACGCATTTACACCAAATAGGGAACACAGCCTCATTGCTTTTAGGCTACAATGAGTGCTCACACTTACACAGCTGGTCGTCAACAATGGTGATGTCAGAGTGGCTACCTCTGTCTTGTATACATATTTATTATGTCCCTTGTAGCCCCATTTGCATTCTGTTTTTTCTTCTGGGTTTTGTAATATTTAGTTTTGCGATTCCTTTGTTTCCCACAGTCAGACCACGGATCTCTGACCTGTGTTTTGTCTCCGTGCCTATCTTTGATCCCTGTGTCAAGTCGGCAAGTCCTAGTCACAGTCTTATGTTGTGTTTCCTGTTTTATTGCCTTAGTCCCTGGTCGAGTGTCCGTTGTGTCGAGTCTAAATTCCCTTGTCTCATTATTCATGATGTCGTCCCTTGAGTGTACTGCTCAGTTCCCCTGTCGTTGTTCTCAAGTGTTTGTCATGTTCAGTAAGTTTTGTACTTTGCCTATTGCTAGTTTGTTCATCAGCTCAATAAAGGGCTCGCTTTTTGCTTTTGTTTGTTTGTACAAAATATCCCATAAACCCCGAGCGATCATTTTAAACTTAATGACTTTTTTCTAGATAGAACAACCCCAGACATGGGTTGAATGACAATGGCAAATGATCCTAAGAGTTTCTTGGATTTTTAACATACTTTTCAAGGAAATCTGGTGAAAAAAAGGAACCGTAAAAGTCCTGAAATTTAGTTATGAGGACTAAACTTCTAAAATCAATACCTAAAAATGAAAAAAAAAAAACCCACAAGCTTTCAACATCAGATAAACTTAACAGAAGTTTTCACCTAATCATTTCCCGAGGTCCATGAGATGAACTGATAGGTCTAGGTGAGACAGAATAAACTAAAGTCGCTGTAATTGCACAATGGGAATCATCCATTACCTCTCCTAGATCAGATATAACAGGCTGTATTCTGCCTTTAATGTTTTCAGTATCAGCTAAACCTCAATCTCTCTGCATGTTAGTTTTCAATGTGGCTTCCAAATCCTCTCTAATTATCTGGCCTGAGTTTGTTGCTCTACAGCCTGCTCATCTCCATCTGCAGTCAGCACCTGACATTTGTAGAACATATGCATGACCAAAAGATGATCTTACAGCCATTGTCCATGACATAAAAAAATAACTGAGTGAGAAATGGCCTTTTTTTAATGGTGAGCTAGTCATACTTAGACTGTTGTCCTGTGGTTACATCACAGACGGCCTTATCCAGACTCTATCCAGGTAAAGCATCGAGAGTGTTGGAAGCACCTTGCCTCAAACAATTAATGCACCTGCTGATTCTGTTTCCAGCCAGGAATAGAACAACATTCAAAAATCCTAATCAAGTGCGAAGTCTCAGCTTCGCACATTTAATGACTGTTTTTGCAGATTGCACTTGCTGACAGGTACACTGAGTTCTGGATGAGGTCTTGCAATGATCAGTGTATACCTTTTGTTTGTAATATTTCTAAACATTTAAGCACAGCTGCTTTGGCTCTGTACAAAGTGGCAACCTAGAGAAAGAGCCAACATTGTTAACGGATGGACGAGCCCCTCTTGAAACCAGCTCTTTGCCATATTGTGGTTTTGAAATCAAATGTTATGAGTCAGCGTTGAGTCTGACTATGAAACTGAGGACACTACAAAGTAATGGTAGTTGTAGTGACCTGTCAGTCAAACGAAGCCACGCCCTAACACACCCCCTGCCCTGTCATCCACTTTCCTCTAAACTGGAGCAACATAAAAACAAACATCATGCTGCATTAAATAAGACGTGTGATAAAGACCATCAATTCATTGCAAAAGCGTTAATTGAGGTCGTAAATCAAGTGAGCAGTAGAGTAGAGAGCAGTTCATTTTCTCCGGGATTTTTACACAGTCACACATCCATTTGTAAACAGTGATCTCCCCTATTCATCATTTATGCTATTTTCTATTTTAAAATCAGGAAATTTCCCTTTCCAACCCTTGGGACTATGTCCGTATACCTCATAGAGTCCGACTGGTCGTGACAGATTGCCACCACTTCCTGAGCCTAGTTCTACTGAATGTTTCTTCCTGTTAGGAGAGTTTTCCCTTCCCACTGTCACAAAGTCCTTGCTTATAGGGCGTTATCTGATTGTTGAGGTTTTCTCTTTACTTTTGTACAGTCTTTACCTTACAATATAAAATGATTTGGCGGCATATGAATAAAACTGAATTGAATACAGTTCCTACTTCTGCTGATTGTGATCTGGAGAATCTGCATACTTGGTCAACACCTCGTGCTCCGTCAAGTTCGAACAGCTGTTCTTATGCAGTTTTCACAGTGTGGTGGAAAGCACTATGGGGGCGACCGTGGCTCAGGGGGTTGGGAAGCTCATCTTGTAACCGGAAGGTTACCAGTTCGATCCCCAGCTCTTTCTGTCTCGGTCGTTGTGTCCTTGGGCAAGACACTTCACCTACTGGTGTTGGCCAGAGGGGCCGATGGTGCGATATGGCAGCCTTGCTTCTGTCAGTCTGCCCCAGGGCAGCTGTGGCTACAACTGTAGCTGCCTCCACCAGTGTGTGAATGTGAGAGTGAATGAATAGTGGAATTGTAAAGTGCTTTGAGGGTCTCATAAAAGCGCTATATAAATGCAATCCATTATTATCATTATTATCACGAGGTAGCTGCCACTGCAGTATGTTGTTGCCATTGTGGTGCACCCAGGTGTAGTTTGTGTTAAATAACACGCAGACAAGGGTCAGAGTTTTCTTGAATGTTGTACACTTCATGGGGGCTTTTAATGTTGTGGCCAATAGGCTGACAGTGCTTAGTTGTGAGCATGTGACAAAGCAGAATTTAGCTTTTGAAGAACTGCAGTGGTGCTAACTTAGCTGAAGACTCAAGTCTTGTTTTAGGCAGTTTCCAGGAGCCATGATGTAGGGTCATGCAGAATGAAGGGTCTAATTCATCATCAGCCTTTGTTCAGTTCGAGTGCAATATCAGCTTTATACAGTCGCCAAGGGTGTGATCCATGAAGTTTGTATTAAAAAAAGAGGATGGTGATTTAGAGAGTGTTATTTCAAACTCCTCGCCGTACCTGCATGACAAATGAGCTTTATTATCGGGGAACTTTTTTTATTATCCCTTGAACCTCCTCTGAATTAATTTTAGATCTTATTCTCCATTTCTTTTAATATTAAGTCTTTGGAAATTAAAATTGGTCATAAAATCTGAACTGAATTTGAAGTCTAAATGCTTCAGAGAAGCTTTCGGGAATGCAAAAAGTTGTGTTCTGAGATTCCTTGTTAACCTTAATCAAAATACTTCTATTACACAATTTTGCTTTTAATCCTTAAAGCTGCAAGTGTTTTTTTGTGATAATTTTTTTTTTGCTTGAAGTTGTCAGTGGATCTGGTTCTACAGAATTGCAATATACTCGTGCCTTGTGCCACAAATAGAGCTGAAATTACCAGAGTGTGAAGAAGCCTTGGCTGCTCCCTAATTACTGTCTCCTCATTCTCCCTTTCTCTTAATTCCCAAACTCTCAAACAGCCTAAAAATCAAACACTTATGCATAAAATGAAGTTATGAGTAGGGATAACTTTAGAATTCATGGTTAATGGTTCAACTAAAAGGTTCTCCTTTCCCCATTTTTTTTTGCAAGGGAAAAAAATAATTCATTATTATTTAGATAAATCACCATCCTTGAACATTTGATGTGATGTAACAGATACAAATCAGCCAATAGCATTGGTAAATGTCATCTTATGTGCTGATAGACTGATGGCTGTCCACACGGCAGATATCAAAATTACTCATCCCACTCTTTGGAATGCCACATGGCTCTGTTTGGATGCTTAGAAAACTCTTTCATTCTCAAACAGGATTAAGTCTTTGACACCTAACCCCAGCAACAGCCACACACACACAGCTCTGACATTCACATCAGGTGTTTGCTGATTGGTGCTGCCTGTCAGACAGTGCTGCAGATGTGTTGTGATTTGATATGTTAGGCGCTGGTTCAGATTGATGTCAGTCAAGTCACCTTTATTTAAACAGTCCAAATGTAGGGTTTTCCAGTTATGTTATACAGTGTCCTACAGCCTTATCTATGTAGTATCAGAGTGTATTTGTACTTCTATAGTGGTGGAAGCAGAAGCTATTATTTATTCATCATGTTACAGTTACAGGAGTAAAATGCTGTTGGAGGTGAGTAATTCTTGTCCTTTTTATTCAGTGTTATTTCCCCGGGCATCTCAGTGCTTCCCACCGTCGGGCCCCTCCACAGTCATGTGCAAACATTTGAGTGTTCATTAGACAATAGCAAAGCCTATAATTAAACATCTTCTAAACAAATTTGTTGTCATTTGCTTTAGATGATACGATTCCTACCAACCACCTATCTTACAAAAGGATACAACCAGTGTAACCGATGTAATCACACAGCTCACCATTGTAGCTGAAAGAAGCAGTCAGTGGTTGTAGTGGAAGGAGAACGCGCGGGCTTCCAAGTAACCTGTGCACCACGCGACACACTCTGATCATTCTGCGGTGAGCTTACCTCAGCTCACAGAATCATTCCGTGATCGGCAGAGAGCGTCTTGTGACAAATGGATGAAACAACCTATAAACCCAGAATACACAATTAATGATGTGTCACACTAATGGGATCATTGCGGTCAGCAGCTAGAAGTCTTCTCCAGCTCACTCAAGTACTGTGCTATACTGACGGGGATTGTCCGCGCATTTTCCCCCATACTTTTCTCTTCCCAGCATTTTGGTACAAGTTAATATTTCTTTCATCTGACCAGAGACTTTTTTCTGTTTCCCCCAAAACTGCCCAGGCTCTTTCAGTTTTTTGTTTTTTTTTAATTTAACATCAACACTTATTAAAATAATCAATTTCAATTTTGAGTCATTAGTTAAAAAATAAGACTTGCGTAATAAATCCACTGTTATCACTTTCTAAAATTAGACTCATCTGTACAAACTGTCTTTTTATTTTATTTTATTTATCATCAACAATGAGCATAAACTAATTAGCAGTACTTGCTTGTTACTAAAGGCTCAGGATTTTCCTCTGAATCTTTATTCAACAACACAAGCGTAAACACACCAAACAGCTGTTTGCTGTAAAACATTTGCAGGTAGAAACTGAAATCTGCCCGAGGAAGGAGCAGCTTACTTGCTACACAAAGATAATCAAATTAATAATGCTCCAAGTGATAATCAAGTAATTACCGTTGTAGTAGTAATAATAAAAATGCATATGCAGGAGAAAATTGTTAATTATTAGTACACAGTCCTTTATTAGTACATAGTGCACTGAAAATGTAGGACTCAGCTCAGAGGAAACAGTTACTAATAAATGTATTGTAAAGAAGTCGCCTATAAAAACGCCGTCAGTTTTACAGAGGCCGGTTTTAAACAAAATTTTCCATCCATTTGCTTCGATTTATGGTCGTCTGATCTGCTGTCTGACGTCCGTCTCACGTTTTTGTCATGATCTCAGGAGTGAAACTGGATTAAATGAAAACTCTAAAATATGAAGGATTTACAATGCTGAAATACAGTAAAACAAGATGAAGGTGTACTGAAACTAAAGAGGACAATTACATCTACAGGGTGTAAAGGATCAGTTTTAATTGAAACCACACAGAGATTTCCAGAGACCTGGTTTGAACTGGCATCTTCAAGTAGGACAATGTGGAATATTAGACAACTGCCTTGGAGTTTTGTAAACTGCATCTGTGGAGGCAGAGGATCATTGTAGTCCTTACATTGACTGTCACTGTTCAGTTTTGCATGTGTTACCCACTACTGCCATCTTGTGCCCAGTTTTCACCAGTTTAACTTCTGAAAGCAGTCAGATGGCCATCCGCTCTGTAGAGTGTAGCTTTACAGTGTGCAGAAAGGAAAAAAAACAAAACATCTATAGAAAGTTTGGAAAGATCATCTTAGGAGGAACCTTAAATCTGTCTAACTTGAAGATTTGGGGAAAGATTAACATTTCTAAGAGCTCCAAAATAGCAATAAATGCACAAAAAAAGAAAATGATAGTATTGCACATAATATTGTTAAAGTTGGCTTGAAAGTCCACAACACGGGGTTAGTTTATGTTAAAACCACTTAACCACTAAGTAAAAGTGTAAATAATAAGAGTGTTATGTGAAGGAAAAGGAGAGGAGGAGGTCCAGTCTGAGGGAGTTGAGGAAGAAATGACTATAAATAGTAAATAAAGGGACCCTTAAGGTGAAGTGCTGCCAAATCAATAAAATGAAGAACTCTGTTTCCTCCTGGAGGAGTCTCCAGGTAAGGAGGGTTGTTGGGCTACCGTGGGCACACCAGTGTACACCTCTGCAGAGATCTCAGATAGTCTTCCACCTCAGATCAATTCCTTCTGGTTTGTCATTTATTACTCAGAGGATGAAGCAAACGTAGCAACAATGGCATCCTAACCTTGATTCTTCTCCCCAGTTTATCACTGGCTATGAACTATTGCCCTCTTGTAGCCAAATGTCATATCATAGCCTGGTTCCCACAGGCCAGCTGATAGCTTGAACACAGCAATGAAGCAGGTTAGCATTCCACTTTTTAAGAAGATGAAAAATTAAGGATGTCCAGGAGAAAAATAAAAAATAAAATATTGAGTTATCAAACTTATTTGTAAAAACCAAAGACACATTTAGAGGTAGTTTGTTTGCTTGAATAAATCAGCCTACAGATATATTAATAGTAAAAAATAATATATAGTATGTAAGAATACAGAACCAAGAAAATCACACACAGATGGTTGTTTTTGACAGATGGCATTTATTCTGACCAGGCATCTGACATTAGAATCGCTACAGAGTCCGCCATTGGGGAATGGCTCCTAAAACAGGAGGGGGTGCGAAAATGGGTACAGGGGAGAAGAAGGGCATAACAAACAAAACAAAGAAAAGAAACTAACCAAAGGCCACTAAACGTGACCTGCCACCTGTATGAAGGATAAGCTCAGTCCAAAGCATTACTGATGCACTCGTCAGTCTTTGTGCCATTCACGGTCCTCTGGGCTCTAGTGTGAGACTACGTTCAGATCGGTGGTCCCACAAAACTAACATTCAGTCAGATTAGTTTTTTGTTTTGAACAGACATTGTTTACATACATTTCATATGTAGTTGAATAATTCCTACAGCTGCTGTTTCACCAAACATTCAAGAATGACAGCACAATCATGACAGGCAGGTCAGTTAAACTGCAGAGACCACGAGTGCCTCCAGGAAGGCCCCACGAAGATCAGAACAGAAACAGATGTTGAGTCAATAGTCAGGAAAATAACACTGGTTGCGTCAGAAGGCCTCTCCTCTCAACAACAAAGAGATAGCGTTACACTTATATACACACATACACAACTACGGTACTGAGTGGACCTCACCTGGAGCCCACGACAAGAAGCCCTCTTATAGGGTTGGGAAGGTGAACGTGTCTTAGCAGCATGGGAATTAGAGCACAACTTAGCAGTGTAGGTTTAGTGAGTGTTACCAGCATGTGTGAAGAGTGAAGATATATTTGTGCACACAATGAAACATGGACAACAAGTGCAGACTTTCATCGGTGCTCAACCTGCTCACATTTAAGGATTAAGTGAATCTCAGAGACTAATTGTGTTGATTTTTGTTTGGTTTTTTTACATGTGCTCAGCGGTTAAAGGTATATGAGATCCTATGATAAAGTTCCACCAATTAAAAAACAAAAACGGCACCAGGCAAATTCTTCATCAATTAATTTTCTCACATTTATGCCTTTGGAAAATTTAGATTCCCCAATTTCATTCATCGTGCATGTCTTTAAGCTGTGGGAGGGTGCAGAAACCCAGAAACAATCCACACAGGAACAGGGACACAGAGGCCTCAGTCAGCTTCCAGATTCCTGTGAGGGGCCTGTGTTAACCACTGTACCACTTACCAGATAAATTCAAGATTTTTACTGTATTTGCTCAATTGTCCCTCATAGGTCTTCAAATGGCTGTCATTATTATAAAACCTTTCCTGACCACTTGCACACCTGTGATGCACTGCCTCCACTATGTCAAAATCTTAGCATTATAAGCTTGAAACCTTGTGAGTATGGGAGTTGTTGAGTTGTTGAGCAAAGATTCTTTAAGTTTGGTTCGTTTCTACTCAGTCTTGTTCCTCAGACCCTTCAGGATGTACAGCCTGACCCCCAGAAGATGAATTCTTGGCGCGCACAGCCCAGTGAATGCAGAATAAAACTACCCTACAGACGTCCAGTAGATGCACCTATTGTATAAATTTCAAAATCCTTGTCAACTAGATTTCAACTCATCTGAGATTTTTAGTAGCTACACGTATGGTATCAATTTGAAATCCTATGTCATCTTGTTCTGAAGTTATAATGGCTGTCCATGGTGCCCCTCTGACAGGGTGACAACAGTACCCCATCCGCCTTTTATGACTGAAGGGTAATGATGATCATGCTTCTTGACTTGACACTGAAGACTCCTTCACTAAACTGCCGTTCAAGCTCTGGGTTGTACCTGAAAACCCAGGAACTCTGGATTCCTCCCACAATCAAAAGACATGCAGTGTATAAAGCAAGTGAGCTTATTTCCCTAAATGTCAAACTTTAGCTACTCTAAAGTGTGTTCTGTTTACAAGTCCAGCTGAGGACAGCAATAACAACACGTTACACATTTTTGGTCACTGATCTAAAGCTGCTGCAGAAACTGAAGGGAGCACAGAAGCTAGAGCAGGATGTTAAGGGGTAGAATGATTTCTTTCTCACACACAGCCACTTTTCTTGCTCTTGGAAACAGGACTGATGGAATAACACTTCTGTTTCAAGTGCAGAGAAACAATCTCAACAAAGTAGAGAAGTGGGTTGTGAAGACCAGCTACCAACCCATTAGCTCTGCTGCACGTATGTATTTCTGTACTCTGACAACAAAACACCACTTCCTTTTTTGGCAGGGTTGCCTGTGTTGTATCGTTGCACTGTGCTGCATGTAAGCCGAGCTGCACTGATAGTGTCTACTGTGTGTTCACCACATCCTATAGTATCTTGTGAATATAAGTTCTTATAACGATGACAATAATGACAAACCGTCTAAAGAGCAAGAAGAGAGAAATAGAAGTCATTAACAATACAGTTAACTAAATCCTGATTAGCAAAATCCTCTAAGCATACAGAGTCAAAGAAAAGAACTAATGCGTTAGCTTCCACTGTGATGAGATTACCGTTTCCTGTTGGCTCAGTCATGAACGTCACATGATATGGAAGGTGCGTCGTTTAAGCTTGATAGTTAAGGGGTCAAAGTGCAGGGCAGGAGTGCCTTTACGTCCTTCTAGAGTCAAACCAGGCAAGTGGTACCATGTTCAGTTACTTGCAACCTCGTCTACACTGTCAACCACTTCCAAGGTGCCATCCAGTCCACCACGTGCACGCCAGATCTTCACAGTCCGATCACTGCAAGACACAAAGACACAAAAGTTATAGTATATTCCATATCCTCTTAATGTCTTTACATTTTCACTGATTTGAAGACTTTTTACTTGGAATTTACGTATAAAATTACCAATATGTATATGTAATTTGCTGATCACATACATAAATACGTGTAGAGGGGTGCCAAATTAAAGGGGAAAGCCAATATAAGGTATTTCAGTGAAATCCTGATCCATTATGAGCCACTAGAAAGGCTCACTGAAACTACTGGTTGGATGGAAATCTGTCATCTGGGAAAAGAACACTCCGATCAGAAAGAAATGTTTCATCAGAGGACAAAAGATCACCCAGAAGAGAAAATGTGTGTGAATTTGCAGCAACCCTTTCCTAAGGCCAGCTCTCTCACAGCATGGAACATGAGCTGGAGGTGTTTTTAACATTTGTGTGTTACCTAGGGCGATCGTGGCTCAAGAGTTGGGAGTTCGCCTTGTAATCGGAAAGTTCGAGCCCCGGCTCGGACAGTCTCGGTCGTTGTGTCGTTGGGCAAGACACTTCACCTACCGCCTAATTGTGTTGGCCAGAGGGGCCAATGGCGCGATATGGCAGCCTCGCTTCTGTCAGTGTGCCCCAGGGCAGCTGTGGCTACAACTGTAACTTGCCTCCACCAGTGTGTGAATGTGTGTGTGAATGGGTGGATGACTGGATGTGTAAAGCGCTTTGGGGTCCCTAGGAGGGACTAGTAAAAGCGCTATACAAATACAGGCCATTTACCATTTACCTAAAGATTGCACTACAGTTGTGTCATACTATGATTTAACAGAACAAAGACCAATGAAGCATTTCTCTCCAGTTTGACTTCTGTTCTTGGTTGTCTTAGCAGACCAGACTAAACCTAATATAAACTAATACAGCCAAGAAGAAAAAAATTAACAGCCAATTAACTGATAGTTTAAGGGGGGGAAAAAGAGCAAAATAAGGGTTATCATCAACATAAAACCTCATCTCCCTCCCTCGAAACAATAATGGTACATGACATTTGTATTCATTTTTCCTTGTACAACTCTGAATCCATCTCACTCCCTAAACTGTCACTCAGTCATCAAAACTCTGGGAAACCCTGCTTTATAAGGACAAGTGGATCTAAACTCTGCTGGCAGAATGTCGCTCGCAGCGTAACAGACCCAATGGAACCCACTCACCACAGGGTCAATGCTCATGTTTTTACTTTAATTTGTTACCCATGTGTATATGAGCCTCAGGTGAAGTTGTTTTCCCTCATATCCAGAGAGACACAAACAAACAGAGAGCCTAAGCATGTGTGTCAGTGTGTGTGGAAAACTCACTCGGAGGCGGTGAACAGGTGGCTGCTGTTGGCAGAGATGCTGTTGATGGGGCTCTCGTGACCCTTGAGCTCCCCCAGTGTCCCTAGAGTGTCTGTGTGCCACAGCTTGAGCACCCCGCCTCTGCATCCACTCAGCAAGGCTGGTGATCCGGGGACGACACCAAGTGCACAAACCCAGTCACGGTGAGCATTTGGGACTTGCTGAGCACAGAGATGCATAGCAGTATGGTTAATAGTGAGAATGTCATGAACGGTTGATGTTTTTGTAACTTACTGAAAGATTATGATCATAATGATGCAACCGCTACAGTAACTTGAGGGTATCATATGGAAAGACATCTTTTTCTTAATGTCCAGTCATGTGAAAACTGTACTTTTACTTTACTATCGGCCATTATGTGACAAAGAATGTGACAGAAAGGGCAGTTTTCTGCACATTGATTTACAGCAGGTTTTCCAGGAGAAAATCTCTGGAAAGACAATAATGGTGATAAAAAAAGAGGAAATAAAAATATTTTAGGCTACTTTTGACAGTTATAAAATCAAAATGAAAAAAAAAATCTATATTGCATCAAATGGAACAAACATCTGAATGTCTCCTATCCATATTTCTTTTTGCATTGATCATCCAGTACCTGCAGTAGGTCTTTACGGTCTAGGTCCCACTTTTTGATGCCATTGTCTCGGGAGCCGCTGAAGAAAATGTCCCCTTGGATTACCAGAGACTCGATACCGTCGTAATGTGGTGGTTCAAAGTTGTGTGTAGGGCTGATGCTTCCCAGAGAGCCTTCAGTCACGTCAAACAGCTGCAACAGCAAAAACAATACATGTTAAAAGGGATGATATGCATCTGAACATAAGGATTATTATAACAAAAGATAAATAAAATCAGTTAAACATGGGTTATGTAGCATGTCTAACCTAAGCTGTCCTTATATTGCATTACTGGATGACTCAGCTGCACAAAGAATCTCACTTTATCATCTGCCTCAAGAAACAAGTGAACAACAGATGTGAATAGCAGCAGTTTGAAAGCCTGAAACACACCTTAATGTAATGGTCCTTGGAGCCAGTGATAACCAGGTCTTGGCTGTTTCCAGACTGATCCACAGTCAAGCACATAACTGGACCAAGGTGACCAGTAAGCTTTCCAGTAGAGGCAAACCTAATGCAGGAAAGGAAATGTTAATGAGTCTTTTGTTAAACTGTCAAGCCAATACCACAGGGGAAATGCCAAAATAAAACTTAAATACACATATCAAATCAAAGAACAAAGAAAAGATATTACTAAAGTAATGATATACTTAATATATCACTCATGAAAATATGTAAAAATGAGGTTTGCTGAGTTCTGTCTCAGAGAAAATGGGACCGTTCTTATACAGAATATTGATTCACAGTTAGTTTAATCATCCAAAGTACCACTTACTGACTGTTACGTTCCTAAGACGAACAAAGAGGCAATTCATCACAGCTAATATCAGGCAGCTGTCAAAAAGGCGTGACAGCTTTGAAATGGATGCTTGTCAATTAAGTTCCAAGGCAACACAATGAAATTGGAGTTTGTACTATCTAATGAAGTGTGTATGTCATGCATCTGAAAATGTCAGGGGAAATCATAAACACACGGTCAGTGTTATTGATGTGCATGTGTTTATCAATACCTCCATACAACACATTTTAGAAAAAAAAAAAAGAAAAGAAAAAGGTTTTGATCAAACTTTCATCTACGCCTATAAAAAGTAAATCCCAGACATAAATTTGGCGTCCTCCTTTTAAAACTCTAGACTTCTTTAAATGCTCCTGTTACACAAGGGTCTGACCATTTCTCAGCTGGGTCACATCTCCCTCTCAAAACCTTTTCTCCTCAACAATCTTCACTTTGCCTAAAAACCTTACATGCAAACAAACTGCTGTTAAATGTTACCTTTTTAAGGAAATACTTTAAAGACCATTTATCTGAAAATTGGTCTGTTGACCCACTTCCACCATGCCGTTTTGCATTTTGAAATCAAGACCAGATACATCCAAAAATGTTTGAATCTTGGTTAGTTAAAATATAAAAACAAATTAAGGCAGTGCCCATTTTTGATCGAAGGTTTTTTGTTATTTTTTAACAAAATAAAAAGCATATTGAGGAACTTTCTGCATCTACTGAAATGTTTTTTGTTATGAGTTATAATTATGAGAGTTGTGTGTTGTGTGACGTCAATCTGTCTGTAAATATAACAAGCAAAATAAGGTTAACAAAAACAACTGTGCTGGCAGAGGGAAATAAAAACGAAGTGTCACGATAATCTGTACCAAACTCCAAACAATCCACACAAAAAGTAAGATATTTCACTTAAGAAAAATCCCTCAGATTGTTAAATCAGACTGACTGCCACCCTGCTAACCCACTGTCTGGATATTACTTTTGCATTCATTTTGAGTATCTCTGCTTACCTTCTCAGGTCCCAGACCCTGACAGAGTTTCCAGCAGCAGCATACAGGACTGTGCCATTGGGGTTGAGCGCAATCTGGTTGATCTGATTCTCTCCTGCAGGGATGGTGACTGTCCGGCTGGTGTTGGACGCACAGACATCCCCAACATTAACTTGACCAGAAGACCTGAAGATATATGAATAAAATATGTACAAATATGCAACAATTAGGCATAATTAGCATTACAGGAGGTGTAACTTTAAAACCAGGAGTGTCCAGCTCCAGGCCTCAAGGGCCGGTGTCCTGCAGGTTTTAGACGTGTCCTTGATCCAACACCATCCATCCATCTTCATCCGCTTTATCCAGGGCCGGGTCGCG